CGACGGCCGATGTGGCATGAGTTTATTTGTGTATGTGCAATTCATGGTTGTACGTGGGCTGGGATACTGCCAGGGCGCCCACACCTAGACAGGAGGACGATTAGGGTCCTCAACCAAAGCCTTTGGCTCAAAAGCCTAACCGCAAGGCAGCGGTGTTCGGCTGGAAATGCAAGTACATTACCTTTTTTCACGGAACGGGTCGCCGTACATGTTCCAACCCCCAACCTGGAGGGCCAGGAGACTGTGTTCGTCGGACCTCTACCCATGGACCAACCAGGTATGAGAGACTCTGTGAGCATCGTGCGGATACTCCCCAGTACAGCTCAATGAGTCGCCGAGGTACACAAACCGCCACACCACGGTAACGTCCAGTCTCTTCGTGACAGACAGCACTGAATGTCACTGGTGCAGCTTCTTTCACAACTTGCCATAATAACACAATCATTCAGCTGTAACACTGTTTCGGTGCCTAGCTGGCATTCCAGCAGAAAAAGCAAGAGTACTGAGGTAGTGCTACATTGACCGAGCCTAGATGGAAGCAGTCGAGATGCAGAGGTTGGCTTCGGACCAACGACCTTCAGGTCAGTAATTTCGCGCCTTAGCCACAAAGATGTCTGGACTTGTTTTGACATGCCTCATTCACGTGCTTCCTACCAGCAGTGTTGGTTTACTATAGATAGTTGAGCCAGCTCAGATCGGTTCTGCTTAACTATGATGATTCTTCAAAGATACTGAAACGACACGCTTAGTACTGACTTGCAAGGGCATGAAGGGAAGCGAACTGTCACGCGTTCTCGTCCTATGCCGTGAGCGGAATCAAGTTGTGTGCCCCAAAAAGAACCCCTCTTGTATTGTGGCTCTCCACCGGTTGCTGACAATCGCTTGATCCAGTTCGGTCCACGCTTGGTTTGCACTTGGTAGATGTCAGGTTACGCGATGTGAACCTTTGTGCTGAAAGTCCGTACTCGCCAGAAACAGTTGATGATCAATGCTCAGCTGGAGTCGCTCTCCAGTATTAACTCCGAATCAAACTCCCCGACGTGCTTCCAAAGAGCTCAAACCATCGACTTGGGCGTTTATATCGCTCGCAAAGATGACAGTATCAGTGCTTCTCGTATGACAAACGAGCCAAGATAAATCTTCAGTTTTCGAACTTCAGTAGACTAAGTTATATGCTGAAACTACAAACACGCAGCATTTTTTTTATTTCCAGTAACATTGCGCTCGATTGTGTTGGGTAACCGCACGGCGCAAAGACGACTGTTCACTGGAATCTAATCCAACAAAGAGCGTTCAGCTCTCAGACTGAGTGCAACTCCAACGCCATATATCCCACGAGTCATACCTTCTAGATCACCGAATACAGTGGGTGAAATGTGAAGAAAGTCAATCCATCCCTTGTGTTCTACGATGCATGACCACACTTTGGTCTTGTGTGCGCATTTCAGATGCGCAAAATAAATCAATTTTGATAAATATGAGTTCCGGGTAAGCATTACTTGTTTGCAGACTTGAGATGGAGAATGGACATCAAAAGCCCCATTGTGGGAATGGTCACGCAGACTATTATTTTGTTTACTGTTAGCTGACAGCATGGTGTTTGGGATTCATCAGTCAGGTAACTGGAACAATCAAATGACCAAGCAACGTTTTCTTGTATGATGGGAAGGGGTTGGAGAGGGACACCAGTAGACAAAGAATTGATATTCGTCGGTTTCCCAGGCCAAAGACGGAGTTCGTTTGGGGTACCTCGTCTTGAACCTTCGAAAGTGAGTAGTAGGGTTTTCTTTGGAGGTGCTATCAGAATTGATGGATCAATGGTCTGATCTGCTAGATTGTAGAGGGCCGATCTTTATTAAACGCTCCTTTTTCGGGAAAAGCTAAAATTGTCGCCTCTATAAATATGGACACGCAGATCGACGGAGGGAAACATCTTACTGCCTTCATACTCCGATCGAAAAAGAGAGTACGACTTTAGCCCAGACCACTCCGTGATACGATTACTCATAGTAAGCAGTCTCGTTGGTCCTAGTCTGATTGTTACCATCTACTCTTGCTGACATGGATGTGGGACGAAGTTCCAGTTAGTGCAGTCAACGGAATCATTACAGCATCCAAGCCCGACCACCGCTTCAAGATGGTGGCTTTACAGCGGTGAAGCATGTAAGACTAATGTTGCTGTCCGATTATGGTGATTACGACAATGATAGTCATGATCACGACCATGAGGCGACAGCGCGAAATGAAGACCGCTACTATCGAGTTCAACGATGAAGGCTCTTCACACCTCTCTGGATAGGATCCACGCGATTTCATGTGGTTGGAAACCGAGCAGGATATGGAACGTATCTTAACCTTGTGACCCGCTCGTTGACTTTTTAACTAAACTGCTTAGCTGATGTTTTCCCGTCATTTAACTTAACTTGTGTTGAGGTTTGTAAGCCCAGATCACGCCCATTTCTCGGCTAACCCCAAAGTAGTCCGGATCTTGACCAAAACCGAGGGTTCAGTACAGGTCTCCAGGGAGTCTCGAAAAAGGGATACAAAGCTGACGAGTTCATTGAAGTAGTTATCAGGTGACAGCGCGAACTAATCAGCAGTCCTCGTCGAAGACTTAATAATTAAAGCGCCATGTGATTTAAATCCGACCAAATGTTAACTGGGACACCCACCATATAAGCGACGCGCACTGCAAACTCGACATGTGACGTGCGTCTGGTACACCGCACACAAGACCAAATGTACATTTAAAGAACTGAAGTGTTATTTGTCCCATATTCCTTACTTGATATCAGCTTTGCCCAAAACCTGAATATCATCCAGGTCCGTTTTTACAGCATTCGTCGTGAGCGGATGATTCATTACTTCTGGGATATCAAAAATCACCTGAAGGTAATTGGTACGAACAAAATGTAAAGTTACTTTGCTGGCCTTAGCCAGGGCCTCCAGCGGATCAGAGCAGTGAAGAAAAGTTGAAACTGGGAGTTCGTGATATAGCTTATCACCATCCGCATAGCCTTCCGCTTTCCTGAAGCAGCGTTACAAGAAAGAAAAATGGTTACTTTCTCTTCTTACAGTCCTTCAGCAAACCTGATACGATGGCCGCCCGTTCTTTTGGAACCTCAACTTCGCCAAAAACGTGTCGCGGATCGAGGAAACGGTGGTCAATTCTGTCAGGAGCACGGTAGTGTTGGCCAACTAGGAATATCTCGGCTGATTCCATCCTTGAAGCTTCCGGTTTTACGGCACGAACAGTCCGGAAAAAATGAGACAAGACCCACTTAAAAGGCTCATAATCTCTGCTCCGAAAGACCTTAGTTATAAACCAACCACCTGGGCGCAATACATCCGTCGCAAGCGCAAATGCCTGCAAACATAAGTTGGCTGAGAATGATAGAAAGAGAGCACGGCAACATACCTTGACTGTATTCGTCGATGGACCATGCGGTACCAACATTCGGAGCGCCATCGTGCAGGACGACGTCAGCTTTATTCTGCATTAATTCGGCCCTAATAAGCTATATTGCATTAGACAAGTCATAAAAAAACAAACCTGTTTGCACCGCTCGGTAGTTATGTCTGCAACGAAGGTTTTCACCCGCGGAATCGCCTGGATTGGAACCAAGTCGACGCCCATGATTTGGCTTGACACCGGCATTTCTTTTGACGCTACCTGAAGCCATCCTCCCGGTGCAGCACAAAGGTCAATCAGGATTTTTGACGTGTTCAAAAAATTAAAACGCCTATTCAGTTGAATCAACTTGAAGGCAGCACGCGATCGATATCCTAAACCCCACGTTACAAAATACGAAGGTCATATACCCGTTTCTTTGGCGAGGAAATAAAACTTGTCCTTCCTCGCTTTTCCCGTCTTCGACTTTTTCGCCATTGCGGCGCACGACTGAGGATCTTCGCAAAGGACCTAGCTGGACCTCGACCGCTCATTCGTCAGTTATTTACCACGTGACCCTCTGAGCCAATGAAATCTTAGGCACTTCAAGGTCACATTACTGGCCAAATGATAAATGGCATTTGGACACTAGTTAGGAGCATATTTAGGGACTTGTCTGTGTCGAACTACTGGTAGCTCAGATGTGTTTACTGGTGGTCGAATGAGTGGCCAGTAATCTCTTCTCTGAGGTAGTTAATTGGCTTAGAAACGTTTCGTCCACAATCGAGGAGACAATTTCAGTGCGCATTTGAGTGTGTCCATGTTGGGGGCCTCCACGTTTGGGACATAGAGAGTGTAATAAGTATAAAAGCTGAAGACAGTTAAGCTTCGAAGGTGTACAAATGCCAAGAAATTTCATAAGCCTTGGCTGGTCAACGGATGTTTCGTGGTTCATCGAGGTTCACGTTTCGAACCAGTCTTCCTCCATTTGTTAAATAACGATCCTGGAACGGTGGCACCCAAATGCCTGGATTGAGTCAGATGAGAAACTGTTGACTTCAAGGCCATCAAGGGCGATTGACTTATGCCACTCCTTGTGGCACAGTCAAGGGGAATCATGGCCGCACGCTGAGCCATGATCTTGCCTTCCGCTTTCCAACGCCCCAATAAAATAGTCCCCATCCGATCCCTGCTGTTCCCGCTGGAAATGGTTCTCAAATAAACGGATTCCCTTCAACTCGAAGCAACCAAGACACCGAATCAATTGGCTGTTCCTCCTAGGATGAGGCGGCTACCTGCCGCGAATGCCAAAGTGCTAATAGAAAATCTTCGGCGAGATTGATTTTGGACGACTCGACTATATTTCGGTACCCAACATCAGACTTTTTTACAGTCGCGAATCAAGACTTGCGATGAGACGACCACACCCACAAAGAAGGAATCAGAACTTGCAAAATGTTGCCCTTGCTGGCCGAAGCTCGACCTACTATCAAAGGGTGCGCCCGGGTGTATTCAGCTGAACTAAACATTTGAGTTGGAGGTCGCTCAGATTGTACGTTTTTTAAGTCTTTGGGATCTTTTGAGAATGAGGGAGATTGTCGAGGGTATTCAACTCCGAGAAGCCCATAGGGAAGGTGGCAGTTAGGTGAAAGGATTTCGTGCAATGAATTAATGACCGAACGGTCTCGGGGCATAATTCTTCCACTACCTGGACAGTGTTGTGTCGGCGATTTACAGAGCGGCGCTGGAAAAACATCCGAGCCTTAAAATGACACCGTTGGTTATGTGTTCTATCCTTCTGATCGAGTAACGTGTTAGAGGAGAGCGGCGTTCAACTATACCTTCGGAAACCGCAACAGGTTACCTGATTAGAATTCCTCAGGATCACAGGCGGTCCATTGTGACCATTAGGCTTCCTAAATGATACCGTTTGGTGATATATTTGATAACGTTAGGGGGTGCATCAACCGGACTGCGTTTTAGCAAGTGAAACCGGTGCACTTATTATATGCGCTCGAACAACGTTCGCTGTCATGCACCATCTTTAGCCTTAAAAACCACCAGGATGGGTGGCTGCGCCTAAAACCAATCATTGCGGCGGTCTCATTTTATGGCTGTGACCGACCGGTTGTGCACCCGCCTGAAGACATCTCAGGTCTTCCAAACCTTGAGTGCCATTCCGTCCGTGACAGGGCGAATTTTATGTCCTTCCGGGATATAATGCGACCTTTTAACGGAGAATGTTTGTGTGCTCTATCCCACACTCTTGTCGGTGGAAGACTTGCGGGGGAAGCAGTGATATGTGGATACAGATTAAATGCAACCACATTAACGTGATGGCCGTGAGGTTTTCGCAGTTTCTCGTATGTTGTTTGCCCGGTCCAACCCACGCCTGCTTGGGTACTATAAAACTACCACGTAGCTGTTCATATCGGTTTAGCGGCACATGCTTTCTTGTCAGTTGGCCTGGTTGTAGCTCGCTTCTCTTCTTGCACTTGGCTAGATCTGGCCAACGTTGGTGAAGAACGTAGGGAGAGCCGTCGGAAGAACTTATGGTTAAATGTGATTTTCCGCTCGGTCCAAAGCGTCATCACCTTGCTTTTGTCCCCAGTGCTAGCTGCCTAACACTTACTCTGTAAATTTTTTACTGAAGCCACTAGGTGTCATCGTAATGTGGATGCAAATAATCCGTCCTTGTTCTTGCCTCATTGTCATCTTTGGCCACGGCGATTGTTAAAAATGGGGCGAAGACACAAAATGAGTGAGTAGACTCATTGAAGTAGTGTGGATAGTATCAATTGCGTTTTTATTTTTAGAATTTTCAGGATGCATGGAATATAGTGGTTAACCGACAATGCTACTAATGCTACCTCCCCGGTGAGTGATAATTAGTCTACCTGAATGAACAGCTCAAAGCCATCAAAGTTGCCTTTTCATATAATTTGTCAAGCCCCTCAAACTTTTTCTTGAATTACATTAGTATTGCTTCCTGAAAATAGTTGAGCTTTCAGCTCAACGCGTCTACAAATGAAACGCACAAGACACGAGGTATTTTCCACGCTACATACTCCAAGAAAGCCAAGTCCAGCTATATCAAGAAAAATTGAGCCGAAAGTGTGAAATTAAGCTATCCAAGAGTGGAAGTTTGCGTTAATGCTGAAGTACGACTCAAAATGGCTCAACATGGTGGTGAATGCTATGTGACGGGGGAACGTACTGTACCCATCCACCCTGGGTTACCACAGAGTTTAGCACCCAAAATATCTCAATCCCAGAAGTCTCCTGCGGATATTTCAGTTCAGGGCTGGGGTCGCAAAAAGCGTAAGTAGGGATGAAGTGCACAAATTCGCAATTGGTAGTGCGAACTTTATGAAATCGGTCTACGGTGAAAATGATGGCTCCATAGTGTTACTGTTAGGGGGGAGTCGGGGGTTAAAGTCCCTTGAGGTAGATGTTCGGTGCTGGTGCGCGGGACGGAACGCCAGCTGCAAACAAAATCATTGACCTTACGGAAAAAGTAAACGGACAGTGCATTGTGGTGGTTGTTTAGTAGATTGGAACCAACTCGCCTCAGATGCAGTTGGGTCCAAGCAAGGGGCTTGCTTGTTTCCACAACTAGGATTCAGAGGAGGTTATAAAAGGCGGTCCAGAGCATGGAGAGGGTGTTCGCGAATGTGCCATAGGCAGTTCTGTGCCGGCACTGCATGGACATACTTCGGTTTCTGGACAGCTCTGTAACGGACCTCATGGTTGAGGTCATCTGACTTAGAATAGGCAGCTGTGTAGAGAGCGGGTTTTTGTGCTAGCCAAGAAGATACACACAGAGAGAATGAAGCCAATGTGGGATCACAGGAAATTTTGGTTTCGTTGAAGGTTCATGCGGATGTAAATCGGGTACAGGCGGGATGGTTAGCAACCACACAGAGCGATTAAAGCAGCTACTGCCGCAGATCGAGGCATGCATTAATTGATACGGCAGAGAACCGCGGGAGAAGAAATATCCAAGACGATCCAAACAGCCATGGCTTTATACGGAGCAACCACGTCACTTTCCAGGGGCAAGATGAGAGGTGTGGGGGCGGCATTTCTGATGGCTACATGGAGCGGCGGATAACATAGACAGACGTTTGAGACGTATCCACGCCGCTATTCTATCGACGTTCACGTGTTTTTAACCAGCAGTAAAAGCGGAAAGAACGTTCTGGCCCTGAAACCTTGATATAGGCAGTTGCCGGCACTGCATGGACATACTTCGGTTTCTGGACAGCTCTGTAACGGACCTCATGGTTGAGGTCATCTGACTTAGAATAGGCAGCTGTGTAGAGAGCGGGTTTTTGTGCTAGCCAAGAAGATACACACAGAGAGAATGAAGCCAATGTGGGATCACAGGAAATTTTGGTTTCGTTGAAGGTTCATGCGGATGTAAATCGGGTACAGGCGGGATGGTTAGCAACCACACAGAGCGATTAAAGCAGCTACTGCCGCAGATCGAGGCATGCATTAATTGATACGGCAGAGAACCGCGGGAGAAGAAATATCCAAGACGATCCAAACAGCCATGGCTTTATACGGAGCAACCACGTCACTTTCCAGGGGCAAGATGAGAGGTGTGGGGGCGGCATTTCTGATGGCTACATGGAGCGGCGGATAACATAGACAGACGTTTGAGACGTATCCACGCCGCTATTCTATCGACGTTCACGTGTTTTTAACCAGCAGTAAAAGCGGAAAGAACGTTCTGGCCCTGAAACCTTGATCGTTTGAGAAATTGTCACCCTGGGCAACGAAATTTGACTGTTGGAGTCATTCTTAGAAGAATTGGCAAGTTGATTTAAAGTGCCCGGGTAGGATCATTGATATGAAACAGCATGTAATTTGGCCGCGACCGACTGAATACTCCGCCTCAAAAGCGGAAGAACCGTTATTGGGCCTCATCCTGTTTCCCGACAACAATGATCTCCAAAGACCTGCAATCAAAGCCATTGCTGCACATGTAACTCCCAAGGGAGGTCCACTGCTGCAACTAAGACAATTAAGAGAAATGGCGAAACCTTTTTACCTCGACCCGCGCCGTTGAACAGTCAAAGGGCGGAGGTTTGAGGAAGTTTAGCTTCCTGAAAAACATAGGGCCTGAGACCCACCGAGCCCTTAAACTTTACCAAAATCTCTATAGAAGTGCCTGCAAGCATCCGAACTAGTCATTCAATCAATAAAAAAATAAATAAACCAATCCCGGCCTTTCTTCCCAGCTTCATGCCCGCAAAACCGAAATTTCAAGGTCAGATGCTGTAGAAACGTTTTCGGATTCTAGTGCATCCGTGGGTCTTTAACCATTTTTTATGCTACATAACTATGTGCACAATGTGCACAGCTCGGTGGCTCCGAAAGCAAAAACCAACCATGTGCTGCGCAATAATGATGCAATTCCGGGATGAAAAGGATGCCGCACGTCTGCTGGCACCACAGGCTGTTCTCTCCCCAACCAAAAAATTCCAAAC